CAGTGTAACTGGTTGAAGGGTACCTAATTAATTTATTATTTAGTTCAGAGATGAGAACAGTGTTACTGGTTGAAGTGTACCTAATTTATTTATTATTGAGTTCAGCGATGAACAAACTAACTTTTTTTCTAAAGGGCCACAAATTAGGCATGCAGGCCTGTCTTACATTCGGCCCTTCCATCTTTCACACAGCAGTTGTATTTTATTTATCAATAAAGCATGTTATGTTAATGTAATAATAATACGCAATTTATGAATATCAAGTCAAAAAACAAAAGCATGGGTGGTAAAATACACGCGCACGATCGCGAGCCCACACACACACACACACACACACACACACACACACACACACACACACACACACAGGCACCCAATACACACATAAATACACAAACATCCACACATATACATACATACACACACATAAATTTATGCGTACATACACACATATATACACACACACTCATACACACATTCACACACACAAACACTCTCTTACAAACACACACTCTAAGATACACTCAAACTACTCAGGCACATATAGACACACAGAGACACACATAGACACACAGAGACACACAGAGACACACAGAGCTATACAGACACACAGAGACACACAGAGCTATACAGACACACAGAGACACACAGAGATATACAGACACACAGAGACACACAGAGATATACAGACACACAGAGACACACAGAGCTATACAGACACACAGAGCTATACAGACACACAGAGACACACAGAGCTATACAGACACACAGAGACACACAGAGCTATACAGACACACAGAGACACACAGAGACACACAGAGACACACAGAGACACACAGAGACACACAGAGCTATACAGACACACAGAGACACACAGAGCTATACAGACACACAGAGACACACAGAGACACACAGAGCTATACAGACACACAGAGACACACAGAGACACACAGAGCTATACAGACACACAGAGACACACAGACACACACAGAGAGACACAGAGCTATACAGACACACAGAGACACACAGAGCTATACAGACACACAGAGACACACAGAGCTATACAGACACACAGAGACACAGAGAGCTATACAGACACACAGAGACACACAGAGACACACAGAGCTATACAGACACACAGAGACACACAGAGCTATACAGACACACAGAGACACACAGAGCTATACAGACACACAGAGACACACAGAGCTATACAGACACACAGAGACACACAGAGCTATACAGACACACAGAGACACACAGAGCTATACAGACACACAGAGACACACAGAGCTATACAGACACACAGAGACACACAGAGCTATACAGACACACAAAGACACACAGAGCTATACAGACACACAGAGACACACAGAGACACACAGAGACACACAGAGACACACAGAGCTATACAGACACACAGAGACACACAGAGCTATACAGACACACAGAGACACACAGAGCTATACAGACACACAGAGACACACAGAGACACACAGAGCTATACAGACACACAGAGACACACAGAGACACACAGAGACACACAGAGCTATACAGACACACAGAGACACACAGAGCTATACAGACACACACAGAGACACACAGAGCTATACAGACACACAGAGACACACAGAGACACACAGAGCTATACAGACACACAGAGACACACAGAGACACACAGAGCTATACAGACACACAGAGCTATACAGACACACAGAGACACACAGAGCTATACAGACACACAGAGACACACAGAGCTATACAGACACACAGAGACACACAGAGCTATACAGACACACAGAGACACACAGAGCTATACAGACACACAGAGACACACAGAGCTATACAGACACACAGAGACACACAGAGCTATACAGACACACAGAGACACACAGAGAGAGACACACAGAGCTATACAGACACACAGAGACACACAGAGACACACAGAGCTATACAGACACACAGAGACACACAGAGACACACACAGCTATACAGACACACAGAGACACACAGAGACACACAGAGACACACAGAGCTATACAGACACACACAAACACATACATACACACACAGCAGCACAAACAGACACCTACAAACATACACAGACGGACACAGACATAATCCCACACAGACACACACACACACAGCCACAGGCACACACACAGACACATACACACACGCAGCATGGGACACTCACAGGGACACATACAGCGACAAACGCAACACTCATACATACACAGACACAAACACATATAGGCCCACAGTCACACACGCAGACACACATGCACACACAGACATACAAATCGACACAAACAGAGACAAATGCACACGTAGACATTATCAAATAGACACACCCATAGAGACAAACACATAGACACACGGGGACATTCGCATCACTCACACATACACACACAAACAGACACACAAACCGACACAAACAAAGTCAAATGGAAACATTATTAAATAGACACACCCTTAGAGACACACACGAAGCCACACACTAAAACACACAGGCACAAACACAGACAGATACACATGCATCCACACAAACACACATAGACACACCTACAGACACACCTACAGACACACCTACAGACACACCTACAGACACACCTACAGACACACCTACAGACACACATAGACACACCTACAGACACACATAGACACACCTACAGACACACATAGACACACCTACAGACACACCTAGAGACAAACAAACACACTTACAGACACACATAGATACACCTACAGACATACCTACAGATACACCTACAGATACACCTACAGATACACCTACAGACACACCTACAGACACACATAAACACACTTACAGACACACATAGATACACCTACAGACATACCTACAGATACACCTACAGATACACCTACAGATACACCTACAGATCCACCTACAGATACACCTACAGATACACCTACAGATACACCTACAGACACATCTACAGACACACCTATAGACACACCTACAGACACACAAACCGACACAAACAAAGTTACATGCAGACATTTTAAAAAGACACACCCATAGAGACACACACAGATACACACGAAGCCACACACTCAAACACACACAGGCACAGACACACACAGATACACACGCTTCCACACAAACACCCACAGACACACCCACAGACACACCCACAGACACATCCAGGACGAGAATCCAGCGGACGGCCGGATAGACCAGAAGCCACACAATCATGCAGTAAGTCAAGAGACAGTCCTAATAATTATTCACATTGTGAAGTGTCAGACTACCCGCATTGTTGTGAAGTGTCAGACTACTTACATTGTTGTGAAGTGTCAGACTACCCACATTGTTGTAAAGTGCCAGACTACTTACATTGTTGTGAAGTGTCAGACTACCCACATTGTTGTGAAGTGTCAGACTACATACATTGTTGTGAAGTATCAGACTACTTACATTGTTGTGAAATTTCAGACTACTTATATTGTTGTGAAGTATCAGACTACTTACATTGTTGTGAAATTTTAGACTACCCACATTGTTGTGAAGTGTCAAACTACCCACATTGTTGTGAAGTGTTAGACTACTTACATTGTTGTGAAATTTTAGACTACCCACATTGTTGTGAAGTGTCAGACTACCCACATTGTTGTGAAGTGTCAGACTACCCACATTGTTGTAAAGTGCTAGACTACTTACATTGTTGTAAAGTGTCAGACTACCCACATTGTTGTGAAGTGTCAGACTACTTACATTGTTGTGAAGTGTCAGACTACCCACATTGTTGTGAAGTGTCAGACTACTTACATTGTTGTAAAGTGTCAGACTACCCACATTGTTGTGAAGTGTCAGACTACTTACATTGTTGTAAAGTGCCAGACTACCCACATTGTTGTAAAGTGTCAGACTACCCACATTGTTGTAAAGTGTCAGACTACTTACATTGTTGTAAAGTTTCAGACTACCCACATTGTTGTAAAGTGTCAGACTACTTACATTGTTGTGAAGTTCAGACTACCCACATTGATGTGAAGTGTCAGACTACCCACATTGTTGTGAAGTGTCAGACTACCCACATTGTTGTGAAGTGTCAGACTACCCACATTGTTTTGAAGTATCAGACTACTTACATTGTTGTGAAGTATCAGACTACTTACATTGTTGTAAAGTGCCAGACTACTTACATTGTTGTGAAATTTCAAACTACTTACATTGTTGTAAAGTGCCAGACTACTTACATTGTTGTAAAGTGCTAGACTACTTACATTGTTGTAAAGTGCCAGACTACCCACATTGTTGTGAAGTGTCAGACTACTTACATTGTTGTAAAGTGCCAGACTACCCACATTGATGTGAAGTGTCAGACTACCCACATTGTTGTGAAGTGCCAGACTACTTACATTGTTGTAAAGTGCCAGACTACTTACATTGTTGTGAAGTGTCAGACTACCCACATTGTTGTAAAGTGTCAGACTACTTACATTGTTGTGAAGTGTCAGACTACTTACATTGTTGTAAAGTGTCAGACTATCCACATTGTTGTAAAGTGTCAGACTACCCACATTGTTGTGAAGTATCAAACTACTTACATTGTTGTAAAGTGTCAGACTACTTACATTGTTGTAAAGTGTCAGACTACTTACATTGTTGTAAAGTGTCAGACTACCCACATTGTTGTAAAGTGTCAGACTACTTACATTGTTGTAAAGTGTCAGACTACTTACATTGTTGTAAAGTGTCAGACTACCCACATTGTTGTAAAGTGTCAGACTACTTACATTGTTGTGAAGTATCAAACTACTTACATTGTTGTAAAGTGTCAGACTACTTACATTGTTGTAAAGTGTCAGACTGCTTACATTGTTGTGAAGTGCCAGACTACCCACATTGTTGTGAAGTATCAGACTACTTACATTGTTGTGAAGTATCAGACTACTTACATTTTTGTAAAGTGTCAGACTACTTACATTGTTGTGAAGTATCAGACTACTTACATTGTTGTAAAGTATCAGACTACTTACATTGTTGTAAAGTGTCAAACTACTTACATTGTTGTAAAGTGTCAGACTACTTAAATTGTTGTGAAGTGCTAGACTACTTACATTGTTGTAAAGTGTCAGACTACCCACATTGTTGTGAAGTGCCAGACTACTTACATTGTTGTAAAGTGTCAGACTACTTACATTGTTGTGAAGTGCTAGACTACTTACATTGTTGTGAAGTGCTAGACTACTTACATTGTTGTGAAGTGCTAGACTACTTACATTGTTGTAAAGTGTCAGACTACCCACATTGTTGTGAAGTGTCAGACTACTTACATTGTTGTAAAGTGCCAGACTACCCACATTGTTGTAAAGTGTCAGACTACTTACATTGTTGTAAAGTGCCAGACTACCCACATTGTTGTAAAGTGTCAGACTACCCACATTGTTGTAAAGTGTCAGACTACTTACATTGTTGTGAAGTGTCAGACTACTTACATTGTTGTAAAGTGTCAGACTACCCACATTGTTGTGAAGTGCAAGACTACTTACATTGTTGTAAAGTATCATACTACTTACATTGTTGTAAAGTGTCAGACTACCCACATTGTTGTAAAGTGTCAGACTACTTACATTGTTGTAAAGTGCCAGACTACCCACATTGTTGTAAAGTGTCAGACTACCCACATTGTTGTAAAGTGTCAGACTACTTACATTGTTGTGAAGTGTTAGACTACTTACATTGTTGTGAAGTGTCAGACTACCCACATTGTTGTACAGTGTCAGACTACTTACATTATTGTAAAGTATCAGACTACCCACATTGTTGTAAAGTGTCAGACTACTTACATTGTTGTAAAGTGCCAGACTACTTACATTGTTGTAAAGTGTCAGACTACTTACATTGTTGTAAAGTGTCAGACTACCCACATTGTTGTGAAGTATCAGACTACTTACATTGTTGTAAAGTATCAGACTACTTACATTGTTGTGAAGTATCAGACTACTTACATTGTTGTAAAGCGTCAGACTACTTACATTGTTGTGAAGTGTCAGACTACTTACATTGTTGTGAAGTGTCAGACTACCCACATTGTTGTAAAGTGTCAGACTACTTACATTGTTGTAAAGTGTCAGACTACTTACGTTGTTGTGAAGTGCTAGACTACTTACATTGTTGTGAAGTGCTAGACTACTTACATTGTTGTAAAGTGCCAGACTACCCACATTGTTGTGAAGTGTCAGACTACTTACATTGTTGTAAAGTGCCAGACTACCCACATTGTTGTAAAGTGTCAGACTACTTACATTGTTGTAAAGTGCCAGACTATCCACATTGTTGTAAAGTGTCAGACTACCCACATTGTTGTAAAGTGTCAGACTACTTACATTGTTGTGAAGTGTCAGACTACTTACATTGTTGTAAAGTGTCAGACTACCCACATTGTTGTGAAGTGCCAGACTACTTACATTGTTGTAAAGTATCAGACTACTTACATTGTTGTAAAGTATCAGACTACCCACATTGTTGTAAAGTGTCAGACTACTTACATTGTTGTAAAGTGCCAGACTACCCACATTGTTGTAAAGTGTCAGACTACCCACATTGTTGTAAAGTGTCAGACTACTTACATTGTTGTGAAGTGTTAGACTACTTACATTGTTGTGAAGTGTCAGACTACCCACATTGTTGTACAGTGTCAGACTACTTACATTGTTGTAAAGTATCAGACTACCCACATTGTTGTAAAGTGTCAGACTACTAACATTGTTGTAAAGTGCCAGACTACCCACATTGTTGTAAAGTGTCAGACTACCCACATTGTTGTAAAGTGTCAGACTACTTACATTGTTGTGAAGTGTCAGACTACTTACATTGTTGTAAAGTGTCAGACTACCCACATTGTTGTGAAGTGCCAGACTACTTACATTGTTGTAAAGTATCAGACTACTTACATTGTTGTGAAGTATCAGACTACTTACATTGTTGTAAAGTGTCAGACTACTTACATTGTTGTGAAGTGCCAGACTACTTACATTGTTGTGAAGTGCCAGACTACTTACATTGTTGTAAAGTTTCAGACTACTTACATTGTTGTAAAGTGCCAGACTACCCACATTGATGTGAAGTGTCAGACTACTTACATTGTTGTGAAGTATCAGACTACTTACATTGTTGTAAAGTGTCAGACTACTTACATTGTTGTGAAGTGTCAGACTACTTACATTGTTGTACAGTGTCAGACTACCCACATTGATGTGAAGTGTCAGACTACTTACATTGTTGTAAAGTGTCAGACTACTTACATTGTTGTAAAGTGTTAGACTACTTACATTGTTGTAAAGTGTCAGACTACTTACATTGTTGTGAAGTGTCAGACTACTTACATTGTTGTACAGTGTCAGACTACCCACATTGATGTGAAGTGTCAGACTACTTACATTGTTGTAAAGTGTCAGACTACTTACATTGTTGTAAAGTGCTAGACTACTTACATTGTTGTAAAGTGTCAGACTACTTACATTGTTGTAAAGTGCTAGACTACTTACATTGTTGTGAAGTGCTAGACTACTTACATTCATGTGAGTGGTTTTAAATCAGTTTAAATGACAAAGCCTTTATCGCCTGGAGTGTGAACCCATGACTTATGTAGGGGAAACCCATGACTTATGTAGGGGCAACCCATGACTTATGTCATGGATCTGACTGTTTGTACGCAGAAAGCGGAATCTGGACGTGTAAACGCAAGACATGTCAGATGCAATTCTCTAGATTACAGCTGTACCAGAAGATCCACACACCGAGAACTGACAGTCCAGGAGAAGAAATATCAAATTTTAAAGCTGACTGCTCCAAGATGCGACTGCAGGGGCAGGGTTTCTGTTGGAAAAGTCCCACTAATTGCGTTAGTTCTGCTTCTGTGAACTTACTGAAGTCATTTTAAAACAATTTTCGGTTTATGTTCACACTTTTCACTTCCGTGTCACACTTGTCGTCTCCGGGTTACCAGACTAAAGTAGCACATCTCTGAGGCAAACATCTATGTGTCCTTGAGGGAAAAGGTAGGGGTGGGGGTGGTGGGGTGGGGGTTGGGGGGGGGGTGTGAACAAACGTCTCCGAGTTACCAAACTAAAGTAGCATATCTCTGACTCAAACATCTATGTGTCCTTGAGGGAATAGGTAGAAGGGGGAGGGGGTGGGGGGTGAACAAATGTCGAGGGATATGCTCTATAACAGTTGGCTGCATGACAGGACACGCAACTGGTAAAATATGTATCAACTGCTGATATCTGCATGAAAGGACAAACAAACCAGTGAGGTATGTACTCCATGTATAACGACTCAACGATACGACAAACAAACAGTGAGGTATGTCCTCCATATATAACGACTCAACGATAGAACAAACAAACAGTGAGGTATGTCCTCCATGTATAACGACTCAACGATAGGACAAACAAACAGTGAGGTATGTCCTGCATGTATAACGACTCAACGATAGGACAAACAAACAGTGAGGTATGTCCTCCTTGTATAACGACTCAACGATAGGACAAACAAACAGTGGGGTGTGTCCTCCATGTATAACGACTCAACGATAGGACAAACAAACAGTAGGATATGTCCTCCATGTATAACGACTCAACGATCGGACAAACAAACAGTGGGGTATGTCCTCCATGTATAACGACTCAACGATAGGACAAACAAACAGTGGGGTATGTCGTCCATGTATAACGACTCAACGATAGGACAAACAAACAGTGGGGTATGTCCCCCATGTATAACGACTCAACGATATGTCAAACAAACCGTGGGGTATGTCCTCCATGTATAACGACTCAACGATAGGACAAACAAACAGTGGGGTATGTCCTCTATGTATAACGACTCAACGATAGGACAAACAAACAGTGGGGTGTGTCCTCTATGTATAACGACTCAACGATAGGACAAACGAACAGTGGGGTATGTCCTACATGTATAACGACTCAACGATAGGACAAACAAACAGTGGGGTATGTCCTCTATGGATGAATTTTACTGACTGGGGTTTTGACTGTCGGCGTCTGTGACTTAGATGTTGCTAACACGCATTGTAATGCCGGCGTCTGTAACTTAGATGTTGCTAACACGCACTGTAATGCTGGCGTCTGTGACTTAGATGTTGCTAACACGCATTGTAATGTCGGCGTCTGTGACTTAAATGTTGCTAACACGCATTGTAATGCTGGCATCTGTAACTTAGATTTAGCTAACACGCATTGTAATGCCGGCGTCTGTAACTTAGATGTTGCTAACACGCATGGTAATGCCGGCGTCTGTGACTTAGATGTTGCTAACACGCATTGTAATGCCGGCGTCTGTGACTTAGATGTTGCTAACACTCATTGTAATACCGGCGTCTGTAACCTAGATGTTGCTAACACGCTTCGTAATGTCGGCATCTGTAACTTAGATGTTGCTAACACGCATTGTAATGCCGGCGTCTGTAACTTAGATGTTGCTAACACGCTTCGTAATGCCGGCGTCTGTAACTTAGATGTTGCTAACACGCATTGTAATGCCGTCGTCTGTGACTTAGATGTTGCTAACACGCATCGTAATGCCGGGATCTCGTGTTCTATCCTAGCTGCAATCGATCTGACAGCAGACCGTCGTCTGTTGGTTTCAACAGGGGTATCCATAGTTGACCGTTCAGGGGCAATGGCAAACTACTGAAGGTAAATTTGCCTAGAAAAAGCACAAAATCCCCCCCCCCCCCTCTCCCCATAAAAAAATGGCGTCGGTTTAATAACATCCTGTAAATGATAGGCAACTTACTGTGTGTGTGTGTGGTGTATGTGGTGTGTGTGTGTGGGTGTGGTGTGTGTGTGTATGTGGTGTATGTGCGTGTGTGTCTGTGTGTAATCTATACTGACAAAAGATGCGATTATAAAAAACACAGCAATTATCACCGGAAATAGTAGAAGAGCAAGAAAAATACATCAGAATTCAAGTTTTACTAAAGAAATCCCAGCCTAGAAAGAGGATTTGAACTCTTGCCTACAGAGTCAAGAAGCAATCATCATAGTTGTTATACAGTCACGTGCCATGCACAAAACGGCTTCAGTGTCACCACGTGACCAGGCACACAGTTAATGCCTCTCCCGCAATCCTTGTCCCTGCCAGCTAAGTAATCGCCTCTAATCCCCGAAGACGAGAGAGATATTTCAGCGGATGAGCCAGTGATTATCCCAAAAAACTGCCCGATGTGTCTCACTTGGCTTCCTCGTCGACAAGATGCTGATCGATGCATGCTCGGGGACACGTGCATTTCATCAACTCCCCCCCACCCCCCGCCCAACCCACCCACGCCATACCCACACATCACAACCCGGCTCAGATAGCCGATGTCAGATTTGTTAACAATACAAAGGTGACGGTCAGGAGCAATCAAAACGACATCGAGAAACGGAGACAGACAGACACGTATATATAAGAGACAAATGTTGGTAGAGAGTTATATAGAGGCGGATGTACATTATATATTTTTACAGGAGAATTGACAGATATCATACGACGAAAACTGAGAAACGTCAAAAATGAGAGATCTCCAGAGCTTAGGTCAGATTTAAACTCCCAGAAAATAGATATTATTTTTTCCCACAAAGTTTCGGAATGCATCACTGTCCTGGAGACACACACATACACGCACACACACACAGACACACACACTCTCTCTATCTCTCTCTATCTCTCTCTCTCGCTCCCTCCCTTTCCTCTCCACCCCCCCCCCCTTTTCCCCGACACAGATTCAAATCCCTTATGATTTTCCGGCTTTTCTCTGGTTGCTTTTCACATAACACTAATTTTTCTATTGTTTTTCTTGTTGATTTGTCCTTGAAATTTTATTTGTTATTTCCTGATGGGTAATGCCAGTAGAATCCATTCCTCAGACGAGATTGTAATCTTTTGACCCCTAACTATCAGTTGTCCTTTCTTTATTTTTATTTACTTCCACTTCTGAGTGCCTGACTTTGTTGAAACTGTCTTGTCATGCCATAGAGCTAGCAACAACTGTCTTGTCATGTCACAGAGAAAGCAACAACTGTCTTGTCATGCCATGGAGCAAGCAACAACTGTCTTGTCATGCCATGGAGAAAGCAACAAATGTCTTGTAATGCCATGGAGAAAGCAACAACTGTCTTGTCATGTCACAGAGAAAGCAACAACTGTCTCGTCATGTCACAGAACAAGCAACAACTGTCTTGTCATGCCATGGAGAAAGCAACAACTGTCTTGTAATGCCATGGAGAAAGCAACAACTGTCTTGTCATGTCACAGAGAAAGCAACAACTGTCTCGTCATGTCACAGAACAAGCAACAACTGTCTTGTCATGTCACAGAGCAAGCAACAACTGTCTCGTCATTTCACAGAGAAAGCAACAACTCTCTTGTCATGTCACAGAGAAAGCAACAACTGTCTTGTCATGCCATGGAGAAAGCCACAACTGTCTCGTCATGCCATGGAGAAAGCAATAACTGTCTCGTCATGCCATGGAGAAAGCAATAACTCTCTTGTCATGTCACAGAGAAAGCAACAACTGTCTCGTCATGCCATGGAGAAAGCAATAACTCTCTTGTCATGTCACAGAGCAAGCAACAACTGTCTTGTCATGTCACAGAGCAAGCAACAACTGTCTTGTCATGTCACAGAGCAAGCAACAACTGTCTTGTCATGTCACAGAGAAAGCAACAACTGTCTTGTCATGCCATGGAGCAAGCAATAACTCTCTTGTCATGTCACAGAGAAAGCAACAACTGTCTTGTCATGTCACAGAGAAAGCAACAACTGTCTTGTCATGTCACAGAGAAAGCAACAACTGTCTCATCATGTCACAGAGCAAGCAACAACTGTTTCGTCATGCCATGGAGCAAGCAATAACTCTCTTGTCATGTCACAGAGCAAGCAACAACTATCTTGTCATGTCACAGAGAAAGCAACAACTGTCTTGTCATGTCACAGAGAAAGCAACAACTGTCTCGTCATGTCACAGAGCAAGCAACAACTATCTCGTCATGCCATGGAGCAAGCAATAACTCTCTTGTCATGATCTGGACCAGACGACAATCGTATCTGAGAATGTGTTTTCTCGACTACTTGCATAACAGACTTGTTAGCCAGCATGAAAATCACTGAGCAATTACCACCGAATGGCTGCACATGCGCAGATCAATACCAGCGGTTCTGTTGGCCTTTCAAGCAGGAAGAAGACTATTGCCGAAACGTTAGATAAGTTTTCAAATGTAGCTTCTATACAACAGTCTCGCTCTCTCTGGATTCTCATATCTTTGTTTAGACTGCAGACGAACCAGTCTCCCTGGGTCAAATGATGGCCCACATCCTTTGTCTAATGCCAGGCTATCATAGACTGATTGTTGCACACACATCCCTTGTCTAATGCCAGGCTATCATAGACTGATTGTTGCACACACATCCCTTGTCTAATGCCAGGCTATCATAGACTGATTGTTGCAGACATATCCCTTGTCTAATGCCAGACTATCATAGACTGATTGTTGCACACACATTATGTGTCCATGATTGGTCGGTTGTGGTCATCCATCTGTTCGTGCAAGTGACCTCTGTGAAGACTGGTGGACCTGGTCTTGGCGGGGCCGTGGCATTGCTGTCAAACAGACCTCCTCAGCTCAGGAAAGTGCTTCAGATGCTGTGACGAGGTCAGCTGCTGTGACAAGGACAACTGTTGTGACGAGGACAACTGCTGCGAGGAGAGCAACTGCTGTGACAAGGACAAGTGTTACGAGGATAACTGCTGTGACGAGGACGACTGCTGTGACGAGACAAGTGTTGTGACGAAAACAACAGCTGCGAGGAGGACAGCTGCTGCGACAATAAAAAATGTAACGAGGACAACTGCTGTGACGAGTACAACAGCTGTAACGAAGACATATGCTGTGACACAAAAAAAAGTGTAACGAAGACAACTGCTCTGAGGAGGACAATTGCTGTGAAAAGGAAAAGTGTAACGAGGACCACTGCTGTGACAAGGACACTGCTGTGACAAGGACACTACTGTGAGGAGGACAACTGCTGTGACAAGGACACTGTTGTGACAAGGACACTGCTGTGACAAGGACACTACTGTGAGGAGGACAACTGCTGTGACAAGGACACTACTGTGAGGAGGACAACTGCTGTGACAAGGACACTACTGTGAGGAGGACAACTGCTGTGACAAGGACACTGCTGTGAGGAGGACAACTGCTGTGACAAGGAAAAGTGTAACGAGGATAACTGCTGTGACAAGGAAAAGTGTAACGAGGACAACTGCTGTGACAAGGAAAAGTGTAACGAGGACAACTGCTGTGTTAGGAAAAGTGTAACGAGGACAACTGCTGTGACAAGGAAAAGTGTAACGAGGACAGCTGCTCTGATAAGGAAAAGTGTAACGAGGACAGCTGCTGTGTTAGGAAAAGTGTAACGAGGACAACTGCTGTGACAAGGAAAGGTGTAACGAGGACAGCTGATCTGATAAGGAAAAGTGTAACGAGGACAGCTGCTGTGACAAGGAAAAGTGTAACGAGGACAGCTGCTGTTATAAGGTAAAGTGTAACGAGGACAACTGCTGTGACAAGGAAAAGTGTAACGAGGTCCACTGCTGTGACAAGGAAAAGTGTAACGAGGACAACTGCTGTGACAAGGAAAAGTGTAACGAGGACAGCTGCTGTGACAAGGAAAAGTGTAACGAGGACAGCTGCTGTGACAAGGAAAAGAGTAATGAGGAGCACTGCTGTGACGAAGACAACTGTTTGACGAGGAGAACGGTGGAGACGAGGACAACTGTGGAGACGAGGACAACTGTGGAGACGAGGACAACTATGGAGACGAGGACAACTGGGGAGAAGAGGACAATTGGGGAGATGTGAACAACTATGGAGACGAGGACAACTGTGGAGACGAGAACAACTGTGGAGACGAGGAAAACTGTGGAGACGAGAACAACTGTGGAGACGAGGAGAACTGTGGAGACGAGAACAACTGTGGAGACGAGAACAACTGTGGAGACGAGGAAAACTGTGGAGACGAGGACAACTGTGGAGACGAGGACAACTGTGGAGAGGAGAACAACTGTGGAGACGAGAACAACTGTGGAGACGAGGTCAACTATGGAGACGAGGACAACTGGGTAGACGTGGACAACTGGGGAGACGAGGACAACTGGGTAGACGAGGACAACTGGGGAGACGAGGACAACTGCTGCCACAAACGAGGTGCCGACACCTATCATTGACTGGCACGTCGCAGAAACGAAATGAATGTCTCCAACGTATAACTCTTGTGTCGTAGACAGAGAGCTGGCGTGCAACTTATCGACAGCTACCTTCCACTCATCTTCTTAACTGTTCTTCTGGAAGTTGTCTTCACCACCCTGGCATTTCTTCAACCCGGCCTCCATTGTAGTGTATTGATCACTGAAACGGTGAACTTCATCTCCACCTGGCAACAAACACGTGCACGCACCGTAACGGTACACAGATACAGACACACTTTGTTGCAAACATGTGATCTGCTTATGGCCAACTTGATGGCAATGCCTGTAAATGCATGATTAATACATGTATACACCTATAGCAATAGACACACACACACAGACACCTACACACGCAGAGCGAGAGAGAGAGAGAGAGAGAGAGAGAGAGAGAGAGAGAGAGAGAGAGATATGAGAGGGAGTGAGAGAGGGGAGAGAGAGGGACATACTATGCTGTGACAAACAAGATTTGCTGTGCAAGTTATGCATAGTGTGCATGTACGTATCCTATAAACTGAGAGCACGAAATATTGTCTAGAAAGCCATAAAGTACGCAGCAAACCTTTTTACAGCATTTGTAAACCCACCCCCCCTCCCCCTTTTTAATTCCCCCCCCCACCACCCCCCCCCCCAAAAATCCTATTTTAACTTGGAGCTGTTTATAGGATTATATGATTTATGTGATTTTGCAAAAACTAAAAGTAAACGATAATAGATTTCCTGGCATCAGTCTATTTGAGAGAGGTATATATTCTAAGCTTTTCTCAGAATAGCTGGTGTAATTTAAAACGGTAGGGCCTCATGACTTTATGTAGCTTGAAGCCTCATCAGGTCTTAATCAATCCCTGCATACAGCTACTGAAGATGGTCATAACCATTTCAATAGAAACAAAAGTAAATAACAATTCCGCAACTGAATATTCAGTGTAAACCAGAAACGGTCGACGATTGAGGAAAGTTTGAATAAAAGATTGTGCAATATAATTCAGTATCTCTCTCGGCCTTCACGCTTGGGAAAACTCCGCACTTATAAAACTCTGATGACGTGTCACAGTCAGCACTGCTGCTTCGACGTTTGTGACTTAGTTTGTAATGCTGCGGGCGATTTGACAGCAGACCGATGTGCGCCGATTTTGACAAAGGTATCTGGAGCCGACCTTTCCGGGGCAATGGCAAACTACTGAACGCGAAATAGTCGAGTAACATCACAAACTGGCAACAAACGGTAGGGTTGGCTTGCAACGTTCTCTAAAGGACACGTAACTATAGTGCGTTTCTAAATTCGTGCCTTCAGACTTAAACAATTGTTTCCGACCAGCAACAACTTTTGCACGTGGCTTAGATTTCCTGTATCCTTATGTTTTTATAATTCACAATTGCACAGGTGCTGCTGTTTTTCTTAAAGCGGCGCATTTCGTTGATCGTTTCACTAAATATATGTGTACCCCTCAGAATAGAATATACAGGAACTGACACCAAATGGAGATCGTCTGAAATCAGTTCACATTTGCAGAGACGCCAAGTGATTATTTTGATAGCATATTCAGAGTACAATAAAATAATCATTAACTCATAAGAGGCTAGAGCGGGGGAAAGGGGCGGGGGGGGGGGGGGGGTGAGCTCTCGAGAGTTCAAACGCTTGCAATTTGATGTTTTGAGAAGTTCCGTTTTCTCACTTAACTGTGAGCATGCTGTTTGCTGTGAATCGGTGTGTGTGTGTGTGTGTTTTTTTTTTCATGTATCGCGATTAAGACAAAGATTTTTGTTCACATGAAAATATTTCTCACACTTAACAAATTACATGCCACATCTCAACAGCTGACACCGAACGGTTGCTGGGTTACAAATGTTTACAGCTGGACACGACTTCTCAAACTGACTGTAGCCGAATTTGCTGTAGGCTGGATGATGACAGACAAGATACAGTCAACTGTGTGTTTGATCCAAACGATGGAATCAAGTTGTTCCTACAAGCACAACTGTGTGTTTGAGCCAAACGATGGAATCAAGTTGTTCCTACAGGCACTACTGTGTGTTTGATCCAAAAGATGGAATCAAGTTGTTCCTACAGGCACTACTGTGTGTTTGATCCAAAAGATGGAATCAAGTTGTTCCTACAAGCACAACTGTGTGTTTGAGCCAAACGATGGAATCAAGTTGTTCCTACAAGCACAACTGTGTGTTTGAGCCAAACGATGGAATCAAGTTGTTCCTACAAGCACAACTGTGTGTTTGAGCCAAACGATGGAATCAAGTTGTTCCTACAGGCACAACTGTGTGTTTAAGCCAAACGATGGAATCAAGTTGTTCCTACAGGCAATACTGTGTGTTTGAGCCAAACGATGGAATCAAGTTGTTCCTACAGGCACAACTGTGTGTTTGAGCCAAACGATGGAATCAAGTTGTTCCTACAGGCACAACTGTGTGTTTAAGCCAAACGATTGAATCAAGTTGTTCCTACAGGCACAATTGTGTGTTGAGCCAAACGATGGAATCAAGTTGTTCCTACAGGCACAACTGTGTGTTTGAGCCAAACGATGGAATCAAGTTGTTCCTACAGGCACAAATGTGTGTTGAGCCAAACGATGGAATCAAGTTGTTCCTACAGGCACAATTGTGTGTTGAGCCAAACGATGGAATCAAGTTGTTCCTACAGTCACAACTGTGTGTTTGAGCCAAACGATGGAATCAAGTTGTTCCTACAGGCACAACTGTGTGTTTGAGCCAAACGATGGAATCAAGTTGTTCCTACAGGCACAACTGTGTGTTTAAGCCAAACGATGGAATCAAGTTGTTCCTACAGGCACAATTTTGTGTTGAGCCAAACGATGGAATCAAGTTGTTCCTACAGGCACAAATGTGTGTTGAGCCAAACGATGGAATCAAGTTGTTCCTACAGGCACAATTGTGTGTTGAGCCAAACGATGGAATCAAGTTGTTCCTACAGTCACAACTGTGTGTTTGAGCCAAACGATGGAATCAAGTTGTTCCTACAGGCACAACTGTGTGTTTGAGCCAAACGATGGAATCAAGTTGTTCCTACAGGCACAACTGTGTGTTTAAGCCAAACGATGGAATCAAGTTGTTCCTACAGGCACAATTTTGTGTTGAGCCAAA